TAATTAATTCAACGTTTATTTCCTCCCAGCGAATTACTATTTTTCAATTGATAACTCCTCTCTATTGGATATCCTAGTTTACTCCTATCAACTGGATAAACTAGTCTACTCCTCTCTACTGGATATATTAGTCTAATTCTCTCTTTTAGATGTACAAGTGTACTCCTCTCTACTGGATATACTAGTATACTCCTCTCTACTGGATATACTAGTGTACTCCTCTATGCTGCATATACTAGTCTAGTCCTGTCTACTGAATATACTAGTGTACTCCTCTCTACTGGATATCCTAGTTTACTCCTATCAACTGGATAACCTAGTTTACTCCTATCAACTGGATAAACTAGTCTACTACTCTCTACTGGATATATTAGTCTAATCCTCTATATTGGATATACAAGTCTACTCCTCTCTATTGTATATACAGAATAATCCTCTCTACTGGATATCCTTGTTCACTCCTATCAACTGGATATCCTAGTGTACTCCTCTCTACTGGATATCCTAGTTTACTCCTATCAACTGGATAAACTAGTCTACTCCTTTCTACTGGATATATTAGTATAATCCTCTATTGGATATACAAGTCTACTCCTCTCTACTGGATATCCTAGTTTTCTCCTATCAACTGGATATACTAGTCTACTCATCTCTACTGGATATATTAGTCAAATTCTCTCTATTGGATAAACTAGTCTACTCCTCTCCACAGGATATAAAACATAATACTCCTCTCTACTGGATATCCTAGTTTACTCCTATCAACTGGATATCCTATAGTGTACTCCTCTCTACTGGATATACTAGTCTACTCCTCTCTACTGGATATACTAGTCTACTCCTCTCTACTGGATATACTAGTCAACTCCTTTCTACTGGATATCCTAGTGTACTCCTCGACTCTACTGGATATACTAGTCTATTCCTCTCTACTGGATAGACTAGTGTACTCCTCTCTACTGGATAGATTAGTCTACTAATCCCATACTAGATATACTAACTCCTCTCTACTGGATAGTAGACTAGTCTAACTAGAGGAGTAGATAGTCTACTACTCTCTACTGGATAAACTAGCCTACTCCTCTCTATTGGATGGACTGGACTGAATATGGTTTCTCCGTGAGGGTTGTTTCGTTCATTTGCACTCGAAGATCCACTCTAGCCTCCGGGAGAAAAACTTTAAGGATGCATTCAAGGATTTAAAAAGAAACTGGAAGATACGTATTACGGATATTTTTTGCAAAAACAAACATTAGTTTACTTAATGAAGTGGTGGAATGCATGTTGTGTATAACTATCAAAAAAAAAATTTACTGAAACTTTTTCTTCACTATAGTTACTAATAGAATGGTAGGCTTGCAGAGTATTGCACTTTTTAATTGAATTTATATTTAAGAAATGTTTTAACCTATTAATGTTAAATATTTAATATGTATTTAATGGACTGTTCAAATATTGAAAGATGTCAATCAGATTCCTGAGAACTCAAACGCCAAAAAATATACAAATATGTGGATTGTTGATAATTTGAGTAGCATCAAATTTTCTAACTTATGTTACAAAGGAAGTGAACTTTTAACACAAACTCATCATTTTTAATATCCATATCTTTGCAACCCAATGCCGTAGCTCTTATATATTTCAATTAATATAAGGTTGCAAAGATATAGGGATTCGAAAATTTGAGTTTGTGGCAAAAACTCAATTTTTTACCTTTCAGATATAAATACTTCTTGTTGGGCTGGATTAATACTGCAAAATGGTCAGTAATTGCATGTACTATAGTAAACAATAATATGTTATTGGAAGCTGTCAACTTGTATACTGCGAACCTGCAACTTTATTTATGTTTTGATATATGAAAGCTGGAATGAAGTAATAAGAAAACAATAATAGCTTTATGTTTCATTTTTACAATTTCAATCAAAATTTAAATATTAAATCCAATATTTTAGCACAACCTTGGCATTATTTTTTGCTAAGTTTTATAATTTACGAGTCTTTAGACACCTTCTTTTGAAAAATTTCACGCCCGATTTACAACGGTACCCTTCCAACCTTTGACAATTCATAAATGAATGAGACATTCTAATTTTTATCGAAAAATTCATTATTTTCAATTTTTGGTTTCTGTGTAAAATTGACTTTTAGATCATGCAACAGAAACATTGAAAAAATGTATAGAATTTGATCCTTCTTAGGGGATAAGAAAACAACAACACTATCTTCAGTGTTGCTAAGTTAGCTGTGTAAAGGGAACCGTATCGGGCATGTAACATGTTTTTTTGAGCTTTACCTGAAGTTATCTTTACATAAACACAGTTTTAGACATTAATCAATATATTTGATTTTTCCTAAGCTTTTTGACTATATCGGTATCATGAAACCTAAGTCCAGCTAATGTAAATATTATCCTAATTAGATGCTTAAATGTTAAAAAAGAAAAATACGACGTGTTCATTTCATGTTGAGTAGAATCTGGTTTCCTAAAACCACTTGTTTTTTATCATAATTATTCATCTGTAAATAGATTTGTTCAGGGGTTTCTTTCCCTTAAGCATGCTATTGAGAAGCTATTCTGAAAAAAGGAACAAAAAATTCCAAATTCAGGGGGTGGCTACGCCCCTCCCTGAATCTGTCCCCCAACACTGTACCCACCCCTGGATTTGTTTCATTTCTATTTTTTTTCTTCATTATTGTACAAAATATGTTTTTTTTATCAAGGAGCATTATATTGGAAGATTTAGTTTTAGGATTAACATTCGCAGCTTTATCAAAATCAAAAAGATTTTTAATTTAAATAAATTTAAAACTTTTTTTTAAAGGAACTGAATCTCGTCATAAATTCGAATGTTTCAATCCCTTTATCTTTGCAATCAGATGTCGTAGACCTTTGATAACTATGATAACTGTTAGATTAATTAACCCAAGTTTGATATATTAAAGGTTCACACGATCAAACCATCATATTTATATAAAACTCAATGTTTTCTTTAATTTCCGTTAAAAACAATTAATTTTTAGCGGAAATTAAAGAAAACATCGGAATTCTCCGATAAAAAATGGTTTAAAACAAGATAATGAGATAATGATTATGATATAATTATTTTAGAATATAAAAACGCCTAAAACTAATAAATATTGAATGTCCCAGACAAAGTTTCGTCAGATGAATAATAAATTTTTGATGTAACGGACAAAAATTCGATGGATGTCCCGGACCAAAATTAGTCAGATTAAAGGGAGTTTTCGCGAAAAATGAAAGGGGGCATAGACTTACTGCGAAAAATAATCGCTTTGGATCGATAGTAATCTTACTTCAATCTGTTGCGTCTCTATAAGGAGAAAATTGTTAAAAACGACTTATACTGAAGAACGTATAACGTCCATACAAATTCAGAATGTTGCATCATACGACTCGCATCGTAAAATAATCAATTTAATCTCAACCAAATATACGAATGCGTCGAAAAATAATCGATGACTATAGGTTGTAATATCTGAATGATTTTTTGAAATAATTAAATTGATTAATTTATGATCCGAGTTGAATTTTGGAACTTTCTTAATTTGTAAAGACGCTACATTCTTCAGTATGAGTCGTTTTTAACAATTTTCTCATTATAGACGCAACGTCAACAGATAGAAGTAAGATTAGTAGCAAAAGCGGTTATTTTTCGCCATTAGCCTATACCCCCTTTAATTTTTCGCGAACACTCCCTTCAATGAATAGAAATATTTTATTTAAAATTGGAGACTGTTGTACTTCGAAAATGTTTTTTTTTTGTATGATCAACTGTACTTCGATTATTTTTATTCAGATAAAAAAATCACTAATATTTGTTTTTGTCTCACCAAAGGTCTTTATAGAATCAGTGTTCAAATTTAGCCAAAGAGTTGAACTTAATCCTTACAAAAGTTGTATTCATTTATCCCTGCGTCTCAAAGAATAAAGTTAAAGTTTAATTATTTGAAATTCAGCAGATCTTTGTAAAAGCATAATTCATAGTTCATTGCCTAATTACTCTTATAAACAGTTTATACTTGGTAGTTTTCGTTCGTTTTATAAGAAAATGCTCAGTCCTAAAGATTATTTTTCTTCAAATTAAGTTTGCAAAAACGATTGGGTCTAGATCTACCTCTAAGCCCAGGTCCCGGATTATCTATTTCCTGCTGAATAGTCAGAATATCTAGCTTAGTAGGTGTGTAGACACCAACATAGAAAGCACTTTTTAATATTTAAGATGTGGAGAAATATTTAACATTTATTTCAATACTTTCGATATTTGTTCCATTCTTGGTATTTGAAGGTTAATTATAAATCTGATACGTTTATCTTCTCTGTGTACTCTGTTAGTATAAAGGTTATTTTCGAAACAAAGAACAATTTTTGTGAAAGGAATTGAGTCTTTGCCACAAACTAAAATTTTTCTATCGATATAACTTTGCAGCCCAATGTCGTAGACCTTAGATATTTCAAACTATGAATACTGGTTGATCAAATAATTTGAGTTTTAAATATCATAGTTTTACACTATCCAGTTGCAGAGATATTGGGTTTAGAAAATCTGAGCTTGTGACAACAACTCAATTCCTTTGATGAAATAGTACATCCTTGTTGTCCACGGCTAACCTTAAAAAGAGTTGTCGATTTCTACGAAAAAATGCAGTTGTGATTTGAAATATAGGTTGTCGTTAATTAAATCGTTTGCGAAATTTCTTTGAAAGACCAATTTAAATATTATTGATTTTCCCTTTAATGGAAATTTATCAAGTTGTATAGGGGCATGGCATGCAGGTGGAATATATAAATAGGAATTCTGACCTTTATACCTTAGCAACCCAATGTCGTATACCTATAATGTTCCAAACTTTAAATTCTGTTAGATAAACTATTCTTGATATATCAAAGGCTTAAGGTTTCAAAGATATAGAGATTAGATCATTTGAATGTGTGTCAAAGGCGCAATTCCTTTACAAATTGATCTGTTTTCAGAAAAAGTCAAGATGGAAAAAAATAAAAAGATTTTGATTGTTTGTCCTCGAAATGTAGTTCAGGGACCAATGGTAAGTATATTTCAGGGTTCAATGGTAGATATATAGTTCAGGGTCTAATGGTAATTATAGTTCAGGGTCCAATGGTAGGTATTGTTCAGGGTATAATGGTGGGTATATTTCAAGGTCAATGGGTGAGTATATTTCAGGGTACAATGGTAGGTATAGTTTTGTCCAATAGATAGTATAGTTTAGTAAACAATGGTAAGAATAGTTCTGGGTTTAATTGTAAGTATAGTTTAGGTTCCAAAGGTAATTGTATAGTTCAGGAAGCAATGATACGTACGATTTAGGGACCAATTGTAAGTAACTTCGATAATAAAGGCATGTAAAACATTTGTCCATATTCATCTTTACTTAAAAGCTGACACAGTCATTTTTTTTCAATGACCTAAAATAAGTTTAAAGTCGGCAAATTGGGTTGCAAGGATTAGAAAATCAGAGTTTGTGGCCAAGGCTCAATTCCTTTACAATTAATACAAAGAATATATTTTAGGCTGAATCTCTGTTTAATCATATGGGCTGTTCTCTGTTTGGTTGGCAGGTAAACTAGGTTTAAATTACGAGAAAACACCTTTTATTTGAGGAAAAAACTTGATTTTTTTTAAATCACGCTTATTTGAAAACATATAAAAACTGTTGTTGTAGTTTAGACACAGTATATTTACGACAAGCCAAAGCTTGCATCTATTAAAGAACTAAAAAGACTCCACACAAATTATAATTTTATAATCCCTGTATCGTTGCAACCTGATTTCGAAGACCTTTAATATTTCAAACTATGATTTTTGTTGGAAGCAAAAGTCAAAAAGTTAAACTAGAGGGTTTAGGTAAAAATTATAGTTCATGGTAGAGAGTTGTTGATTCTATAAATCTGAATTCGAATTACTTATCTCTAACACTCTTTTCCATAGTTATATTTTATTAAAGACTAGAAAAAGACAAGAGATGGAATTTACAGAATTACAGCCGCGGTTTAAATCTGACAAAACCCGGTTTAAATTAAGCGCCGGTTTAAATCTTGAAAAATTTGATGCAATTTTAAGTGGAACCAACCATATTAAAGCCGCGGCTTAAATTTAAACCGCCGCTCAAATTCTTTAAATTCGGCCAAAAGGTTTCATATTTTATATTAAATAATAGTGTAAACTTTCCATATTTTTATTTTGCTAAATAGCACGATGATATTAAAGATAAGCAAACACAATTTACTATGCAATTTTGAACCCGGCAAACCAGGGTAGGTTGTTAGCCAACCACAATGAAGATAACTTGATAAGGATAACCAGGGTAGGTTGTTAGCCAACCACAATGAAGATAACTTGATAAGGATAACCAGGGTAGGTTGTTAGCCAACCACAATGAAGATAACTTGATAAGGATAACTTGATAAGGATAACCAGGGTAGGATAACTTTATTTCAAATAATTTGTCTCTAACACCAGGGGCGTAAATAAGGATTCTGTAGGGGGGGGGGGGTGAATTTTTTTAATGTGGCTCGCGAAGCGCGCCGAATTTTTTTACCCCCCCCACAAAAATATCATGATTTATATCAAATTATTTGTTTTATTTGGGTTTGATTTGCATTTTCCACTCATTTCTGGCATTTACAAACTTCATTAAATACAGGCAATTCATTTCCAACCTTTCAGCTTTCACCTTGTTTAATATCCTTCATTATTGTCATTCGTTATACATTAACTACAAAGATCTGTAAAAAACTGAATTTATTTGAAGTAACATAAAAAATAGTTTTACTCTAAGAGGAAAAAATGTTACTTTTTTAAATCTTTAGAAAAGCTACTCTGCAAAACTTTCAAAATCTTTGTTTATATTCGAATTTCTAATTTCTAAAATTTCTTGTCGTCAATGTACTAGGTATATATGTTAATTTCACTATATTAAAAGAGAAATGTCTTACTTTTAAAAATTTAATTCTTAATAATTTTGATCTTTTAACATTTTATTCACCCCCCGGAAGAGCTTTATACTTAATTTGACATACGCTACGCTACTGCATTAAAAAACTCGATTTTTGGGTGAAATTTATCTATGTTACTTTGTTAAAGTTGTTGAGTAAGATTATCTGCACGAAGCGCCAAAATGGTTTTTACATTTGTCCTTATATTGGTAATCATGGACATGGAGAATGGAGATCAAGTTACTAAACGGGGATGTTTGTTTCCCAAAGATTCTAGGGGGAAGGGGGGGGGAATTACCCCAAGGGTTCTAGGGGGGGTAAGTAACCCCTATAACCCCCCTTATTTAAGCCACTGTCTAACACTTCAAAGCTTATATTTTTTCTTATTTTCTATTTATAGAACATTTATAGAAATAAAAAATTACATTGGATAGGTTAAATATGTCGAGATTTTGACCGAATAATTTTTATATTTATTTTGAATTTTATAGAAACGATCAAGAGATTAGAAACCAATTAAACGCTTTACTTTAAGGTTAAATCTGTTGGATTATCTGTTTCTAAAAGCACTGATGGAAGACTAGTTTCTGAGATATTACAGGTTTCTTTTAATATAATCTCATCCACAACACACACACATTACAATTAAATTATACTAAACATAATGTTTCACGCCTCATGACGATCCTCAGTAGTCAAAATTCTTTTACCACCTTATTTATTATTAGCTAGCTGAAGTGCCCAGCGTTACCCGTGGAATTTTAGAAACACTTGAACAAAAAATTTCGAAGTTTGAAAAATAAAATTCAGAATATTGAAAATCATTTTTTAGGCCTATTTTTTACTCCCAGGGTACCCAATAGTTCACTAAAAAATTTAACAATTCGGTCCAGTCGTTTGGCCAGCTATTGCTAACATATATACATGTATAGTGTATATTCTAAGTACGAGATAAAGTTTGAATGCATTATTATAAATTATAGATTTTCATTATTACCTGTATATACTAGTAGAGACACATTATATATTTATTCGCCACCTATGAGATGGGTTAAAATATATCTTTTTAGGAAACCCATGGCCATGGTGAACCCGGGCAACTCCGGGCACATCATCTATGAGTGTGTAGTGTTGCATTCAAACTGTATCCTACAAATAAACATAGAAAATACTGTAAATCAATCTATGTCACACACAACTAAAGCTTTAGAAATTGTAAATTGGCGGGACAGTCCAAACTAGGACCGCAAAGTTGGCCCAGCTAGGCTATTCAAATGTACACTGGTTGTGCGTGATGCTCAATTTTTTATATATGCGTGTATTTCATTTTTTAAATATTGAAATAAGTATGTTCTCACGGGCAACCGTAGTACATTTGAATTTCCGAGCCGGGTCAACCTTTCCGGTCCTATTTTGTACTGTATCGCCTGGAAATTGGGTAAATAGAACAGACACTCAATAGGACTAGCCGGTGCAACAAGGTTGACGCGGCCAGACTTAAGGTTTAATTTACTTTTACTGGAGGGTCAGGGGTGCGATTGTAAATAACAATCTTGCATTGTTTAGAAGTTTGCAGTTCCACACTTTGAGAAGGAATCTAAGGTCTTAAGGTAAAGAACAGAGTGATTTTAGGAACTGTAGACATAGACGTTTAAAAGTGTTGCTCTCTCTTAATTTCCTTCATAAACTCTAAAGCACAAATGCGCAACTCGCTTTTATAGTGAAACCACAATTGAAAATAATCAATTTTCACCTAGAAAAATATATAATATCCTTTATTGTAAAACGATTTTGGGTGCTGTTGTGAATCACATCTTTACTTTCCAGTCCCCTTAATTGAATTATGTTGCGGGAAAGTCTTATTGTTTAATAGTTACAGGGTTGGTTAGTATCATCGACTCAATGTAGTTACATGTTGGTTTGGTGTTACAATAGTTACAGGGTAGTTACAGGGTTGTTTAGTATCATCGGCTCAACGTAGTTACATGTTGGTTTGGTGTTACAATAGTTACAGGGTGGTTTAGTATTATCGACTCAACGTAGTTACATGTTGGTTTGGTGTTACAATAGTTACAGGGTGGTTTAGTATTATCGACTCAACGTAGTTACATATTGGTTTGGTGTTACAATAGCTACAGGGTTGGTTTAGTATTATCGACTCAACGTAGTTACATGTTGGTTTGGTGTTACAATAGTTACAGGGTGGTTTAGTATTATCGACTCAACGTAGTTACATATTGGTTTGGTGTTACAATAGCTACAGGGTTGGTTAGTATCATCGACTCAACGTAGTTACATGTTGGTTTGGTGTTACCATAGTTATAGGGTGGTTTTCTGTAACAATTATGTTACAGGGTGGCACGATCAAAGTATATCTGACAATAGTTGATAAACTGCCTGTGTTTAGATCAAGTGATATAAAGTCTAGTGGTAGAATACTCTGCACTGACAGGAATCCATAATCAAAAATCTTCTAAAACGAATTGTCGAGTATAAAGGTTCAAAAAGTAGATTTTTTATATCACACAAAGGAAGTATTTGTCACCAACATAGATTTTCTGATTCCTATATTTGTTCCACCTCATGATGTAAACCTTTTATATTTTAAACTTAGATAATTTGATCTAACAGCATTCATAGTTTGAAATTTTAAAAGTCTACGACATTGGGTTGTACAAATATCCAGATTAAAAAACAAATGTTTGTAGTTACTTAGAGACCCAATTCTTTCACTTAATTTTTTTTAATTTTTATAAATGCTTTATTACTAATTATCTAATTTTAAAATGAGTTAACACAAAAAGACAGATTCTTGAATTCATTTGACAATGTGAACTTCTAAGAAATGCGATTAATGTCTAAGTTAATATTGAATATGGTTGCTTTCCAGCCAGATTCTTCAACATTTGAAATCTACGTATTATGGGTGCGAAGAAAAGCTTGGATTATTAGGTTAGTGGACTTACTTTAAAAATGTTTCTTAATTTTAATTATACAGCATACATTAGGCATAATTAGAATTCAACTGATTGCAACCAGGGATTTGAACATTTATACCAAACTTTCTTGGAAATTTAATTCTGAATTCAAATTCGAAAATAATTTTTTGTAAATTAAAAATTTAATGAGATAGAGCACGAAAACTAGCTCATCTAATTTCTAATATTCTTAGAAATGGTTTTTAAATACGAATTTAGAATATTTTTCCACGAAAATGAGGTGAAACATGAAATGTTAAAAATTTTTTGGCTTTCGTTTCCCCGCGGTTTATAAACTCCGTCATTATCGATCAGACAAAGGGTTTAAAAGAATAAACGAGAAAATTCTAAACTTGATCATTCATTATCAGAGAACGAACGATCTTTTGATATAGTAAGGTATACAAGAGTGACCTTCCTTGGCGATCACTCTACTTTATTAATTATTAATATTAAAGAGGGAAAAAAACGAATACAAACTTTAGATAAAAGAATAAATTGATATTTTTTTTCAATTTTGTTGAAGCCTTGCATTCATCCAATATAATATACGTATATGGGGGGGGCACTCTAAGAAGCCGAGGAAATTAAAAACTTTTCATTTTTAGAATCTGATATTGGATTTTTAGCTCAAAACTTGATTAATTTTTCCGAAATTATAACTTTTTTATTCTAAAGGTAATCTTATTCTCGCTCTCAATCTTTATTTGGATTAAAATTTGTTTTTTGAAATCTTGAGAATTATTAAGGATTGAAAATAGAAGATTTAATCACGAATTTGCCTCAATAAAAACATGCTTTCTTTGAAGTAAAAATGACTTTTTCCATCGGGGGAAGGGGAGGGGACTTAAAGTTTCAAAGCATAATTTAATTAATTGATTTACAATAAACATATTTATTGTATATTACATAGTATTATAAGCAGAATTACCGGGCGTTGCCTGTGCTCGTTAGGCTTCAGTTTGTGTGATTGGTCATCGTGCAGTTGTCCATCACTGCGGGCAGCCGTAGAACATTTAAATTTCCTTGCCGAGTCAACCTTTCCGGTCCCAGTTTGTACTTTACCTAGCTATATAGACAGGACTATCCGGTCCAACAAGGTTGACGCGGTCAGAGTTTATGCTTCATATAGGTTGAATTTACTCTTACTAAAGGGGAAGAGGTGCGTGCTTAGCCTTCTTAAGTTTTTATATTTAACCCTAAATACAAGGTTTTGAACCTTATATCACCCCTCTTTCAGAGTTATGTTTTGCCGGCATTTTTTCTCAATCTTTTTTTACTCGAGAGAGGTCATTTTTGAACTGGTGACAAGATAGTGTTGTTCTACAACATCAAAAGAATGATATCAAGTTGTGGAAAATTGAAAAACATTTTCTTAATAATCAGATATTTATTGTTTAGGGGACTTTTATCCAAGTCCAGGCATACAGATACCTGATCCTGCACTCTTTACTGATGATCCTAAGGTAGGTAGGTAGATAGGTAGGTAGGTAGGTAGGTAGGTAGGTAGGTAGGTAGGTAGGTTGGTAGGTTTGTTAGTAGGTAGGTAGGTAGGTTAGTAAGTAGGTAGGTAGGTTGGTAGGTTGATAGGTAGTTAGGTAGAAAGGTAGATAGGTAGGTAGGTAGGTAGGTAGGTAGGTTAGTAGGTAGGTAGGTAGGTTGGAAGGTTGTATAGGTTGGTAGGTAGTTAGGTAGATAGGTAGGTAGGTGAAGGTGGGTAAGTTGACAGGTAAAAGGTAGGTAGGTATCACTTACTATTAAAGATTTAACATATTTCAGGGATATGAAAAGTGTTATTGGCTTGTGTATAAATCAGTAAAAGGGCTGGTCAAGGAACAAGCATTCTACAAACAATAAATAAATAAATTCATATTTCTATTTTTCTAATTTTCTCTTCTCTATTCTAAAATCTGTGTTTTAAAGATTAAAGTTTTAGAATTCATTTCCGAAAGTTTACAAGTCTGTCTGTCCGGAATGAATGAATGAATGAATGAATTGGAAAATTTAGATTGTTTTTTATAGAATTCCTTTCAAAGTCTTATTTGTTAAAAACCACATTTAAGTGAATAAATGTAAACACATTTTGAATTACTAAATATAAACAGCGCAAGCTAATTTTTTTGTTTGCTTTTTCTCATTAAACGTCAAAATATATTGAATTCTACACCGATAAAAGCCTAACTTTTTATTGAATCTTAATTATATAACCCAAGGGATATTTTGTGGTTGCATTTGATCAAAAAATTATCATAATAAAACTTCTGAGTTTAAAATCTGTATCGTGCTCTTTAGCTTTTTTTCATATTGGGTAAGAGCAAAAACAAATTCATTCAGAAGCTTGTTTTAATTTTTTAAATTTTTATTTTATTTATTGAAAAAAATATCTTTTTTTCAAAACGGTTGTAACTTGTTTAAAATAATAATTTACTTCTTATTAGATAATTCTTTATCTAAGTTTAAAACAGCTCAGTCGATATTAGTATATTATTTAAATGCTGAATCTCAAGAACAGAAGTTAAAGGAGATTGACGAAGAAAATAAACCCAAGGAAAATATAAATAAAAAAGTAACAGAAGGGGGGGGGGGTTAGTACATTATGGATTAGACGTGTAGAAAAAGAATCTCATATCAAGGGCTTAAAGGTAGTGTTCGCGAAAGATGAGAGGGGGTATAGGCTTAATGCGATAAAAAAGCGCTTTTGATCGCTACTAATCTTACTTCTATCTGTTGCGTCTATAAGGAGAAAATTGTTAAAAACGACTTATACCGAAAAACGCAGTGTCCATACAAATTCAGAAAGATGCAACATTCAACTCGGATCGTAAACAAATCAATTTAATTCCAAACAAATCATTTGCGATTACAAACAGTAATCAGCGATTATTTTTCGACACATTCGTATCTAAAATAATATAATAAAAATATGTTTAGTGTATACTACATAATAGCAAATTCACGAACTGAATTAAATGCAAAAAAGTATCTCTCAGTTTGCGGAAAAAGCAAATAGTTTATTAGACTCCCCAATATGATGCAAAATATTTCTGTAAGAAGCTAGATGGGGAATTCAAATTAAAAATTAATGATAAAAATGTTTTTAATTAAAAAATGTTCCGAATCTATAAACGTCAGAGAAGCAGTTGAACCAGTTAGAAAGTGTTTAACTACGTTGTTTGAGCAGGTTTAAGTTGGTTCGTTGATGCAGAAAGGTATTTGATTAAACCGTAGCTAGTTGAACTAACTCTCTCTTTTTTCTAAGGAATTGAGTCTTTGCCACGAACTCTGATGTTCTAATCCCTATCTTTGCAATCCTATGAATTCTGCTAGATAAAATATTCTAAGTTTGAAATATCAATGTTTATGATCAGGTTGTAAAGATATAGGGAATAGAAAATTTTAGGTTGTGGAAAATACTCAGTTATTTTTTAAAAAACTTTTTTCTTCTTGATAAAATAAATTGAATTGTATCCAGGTCACCGGATATATCTGATATCCTCGTTTTTCCACCAACTAGACCACAAGAAACTGTGATAGGTGAGCACTCAACACTGAACACTGTGCTCAGGTGCAGTAAGGTGTCAACAAAAGATTACTAATTTTAAGAATAGCGCGCCCTATTGCACTACATAGCACATAGTACATACTGTACATAGTACATACTGTACATAGTACATACTGTACATAGTACATACTGTACATAGTACATACTGTACATAGTACATAGTGTGATTAATTCCTGAAATATCTGGGTCGACAGCTCTTTAATTCTAGGATAATGCCTTCAAAGTTTTAAGTGCAAAAGAAAGTAAAAAAAAAAATATTATTAAAAATAAAATAAAAATCTTAAAATTATCAAATTACACATGAATTTCTTCGTTAATAATCATGGATCTGTTGAAATTTTGAGAAAATAATAAAAATAAATCAGTTAGGTCTCAAAAATCGTCTAAAATGCACGTTTTTTAGAAAACAGTTTTTGGAGGTGGTTTGCACATAACCCAGTCAATTTTTTAAAAGTTGGTAATCCTGGACCATGAATTAGATGAAATAGTTAAAAACTTTTTCACTTTCAGAAGATTGACTTTTACTTTATAAGACCAGAATGACTGTGCAGGTTTTCTTTAAATTAAGAACTGAAAAATTAATCATAAAATCTTTATTTCTTCGGTCTTATTCTTTTGTATGTAAAGTATAAGAACAAAAACCAAAAAGGAAAAAACTTGCTTTCACTTAGACTTTAAACTTAGAGGTGTTAACGAAACTAAAAATATTTCCGTAATTACCCAAAAAGATTAGATGTAAAGCAGTCAAGGCGGGTGTTCTGAAGTTATGATCTGACATACAAACAAACAAAAAGAAGGACAAGCAGAGAGATGTACAAATATACGAAAGATTAAGACGGGAGAATAAGTGGGGGGGAATAAATAAATCCGTAAATTTTGAGTTTTGAGTTTCAGTTTTTAAAGTAAATTGCAGATTTACGTAGGACAGACAAGAACAAAAAATGACAGAATTTACCCTTTTCAAGATGAAAAAAATCGTGAATAGGTCCGAGGGTTTCCAATCGGAATTCTGTTTGGCGAAATTGATGTTCTTGAATTGTGCGGAATTGCGCGGAATCGCGTGGAGTTTTCAGGGTTCTCAATTGCACGCAAGGAAAATCCAAAGGAAAAAATGCCAAAACAAAATAGTTTAAAAAAGATAAGCTTTAATAATATGACACTTTTCTATTTCTTTTCAATATCATTTTTTTAACCAACATAACGATGTATCCATAAACGTAGATTTCTAGGTACAAGGTAGATTACCCGGTATTCACGGGCCACGGCGAATTTTTAGTTAGAATTTTATTACATTTTCTTAAGGGAGTGCAAAAACTAAAAATTTTAAAGTATTTCTTAATCGACATTTTTCCTCAGCAACTTTTTTCATTTCGAGTAGCGATAAACCTTCCCTGGGGTCATCAAGATACCACAACAAATTTGGTCCCGATCGGTTTAGCTATTTTGACTATTACCAAGGATACAAACAGATCAACAGACAAACCAGCAGACAAATATCAATTACTAGAAATTCAAGGCGCTTCGCGCCCTTCTTTCTAGCCTTAGAGGGCGCTTCGCGCCCATCTTCTAAATTAATTGTGAACATGTTCTCTTTGTGTACATCGTAAAACAAAACAAAAATAATTCGCGGATTTTCAAAAAAAAATTTCGCGGATTTTCAAAATTTTAAAAAATTTAATGACGATCGAATTTTGATGGAGACAAATATTTAAAATTTCAATCATTCATAAACCTTCCCTGGGGTCCCTAGATGTCCCACAAAAAATTTGGGCCCGATCGGTTCAGCCGTTTTGACGTTTATTGGATACAAACAGACAGACAAACAGACAGACAAGCCAAATTTATATATAGATATAAATATATAAATAGATTTACATTTTTAGGAGAAACCCCAGAAGTAATTCCTCAACCACCTCAATACTCAGACCTAGGGATTAAATATTTGGATTAACAATAAAGTTTACAATTGGTAGAAAAATATCTTAACAATCCCTTCTCAGGCCAAAGCAAGGTTGGCCTTTATAAGGTTCTGTCTTCGAAATTAACTGAATCTGTAGCTTCAAACTCAAATGGATTACAAAGTTAGAGTTTGTGGCAAACTTATTTTCTACCTTTTAAACCTATATACCTGAGCAAAATCAATGAAGACACTTCTATGTTTCCATCTGAAAATTGACAATTTTCAAATGAGGCTTTTAGTAGCTAAGGCGATACAGGAAATTTACAACAACAACAAATTTTCAGAATATCAAAAAATATTTCCTTCTAAGTTCTAATGCTGTTTGGATAAATGTTTAAATGATACAGTTTTAAATCGGCATGTAACAAATTAAACAAAAACTCACTTGAAATTACGTTGAATTACTCACACAAAATAAAACAAAACTATACTTGTACTTTACTCTAAACCATACACTTTTATAAATATAGAACTGTTTACTTCCCTGTTAAACCATACACTTTTATAAATATAGAACTGTTTACTTCCCTGCTAAACCATACACTTTTATGAATATAGAACTGTTTACTTCCCTGCTAAACCATACACTTTTATAAATATAGAACTGTTTACTTCCCTGCTAAACCATACACTTTTATAAATATAGAACTGTTTACTTCCCTGCTAAACCATACACTTTTATAAATATAGAACTGTTTACTTCCCTGCTAAACCATACACTTTTATGAATATAGAACTGTTTACTTCCCTGCTAAACCATAAATATAGAACTGTTTACTTCCCTGCTAAACCATACACTTTTATAAATATAGAACTGTTTACTTCCCTGCTAAACCTTTGTAGAAATTTTCTATTTGTATTTTAGTAACCTAGTTAAAAACTAGAATTAGTTTTTGCATTGATTACTGTGATCAAAGTGTAATTAAATTCAATGAATTCTATTCCTGCCATATTCAAATTTAATTTAGAGTTGGAGGACACTCTGCCAAAGGGGGTAAAAATATCAGCAAAACATTCTCAGGAACAGTTTTGGTTAAGGAACAGTTAGGGTAAAGAAACATTTTGGGTTCAGGAACAGTTAGCGTTTAGGAACAGTTTTGGTTCAAAACAGTTTGGTTTCAGGAAAAGTAATGGTTCAGGAACAGTTTCGGTTCAGGAATAGTTAAGTTTCAGGAACATCTTTAGCGTTCAGGAATAGTTTTGGAGTTAGAGTTCAGAAACAGTTAGGAGTCAGGAACAGTTATGGAGTCAGGAACAGTTAAGGTTCAGAAGCAGTTAGGTTTCTAAACCAATACTGATGACCAGGAGCCTGAAATATGTTCTATTGTTTATCATCCTCTGGTTACAATATTAGGTATTCAAAATATTCCAAATATTTATATGTTGAATTTTACAAAAATCTTATCTTGTTTTATCTACAATATGATTTGAAATTGCAAAAATATTACAAAATATGGTGGATTTGATTTTGCACGCGTTTGAAACAAGTTTTCCAGGATGGCATCTTTTAATGGACAAAATATCTTAATTCACTATACACGAGGCGACTTATCATCCGCTCCACTGAAATTGTCGACCACAGGCATATTTACAAGTAAGCCTCTCCATGCTTACATCCTCTACCTGATCTCGGAACCAATTCATGCATGCTGAATTGGTTCCGAGATCTTACATAATCCTTCTCTGTCCGCCTTGCTCATGAACGGGACTCCAAGATTAGGGAGACCATCTCTGTGTGCGGCTGAGGTTTGACGGTATGGATCACATCTGTCCGCCTTAAAGTCGGCCATCAACTCAAGCAAAACCTCCAACCTGAGCTTGTTATCTGTCTGTATAGGCATGGGTGCCTTGCTACAGGCTACAAAGGTTCTCTTCACTAAACACAAGTACTAGCCATCTCTCCACATGTGCTTACGGATACCATAATTGTCTCCTCTTGTTCCAACGATAGGAAGGGTTTGTTTTAGCTGAAGAGGCCACAATAGAAGGATTTACGGTGCGAGGTGATCATAGTTCCTTATTCTCCACCAGCTGGACAATCTTGACCTTTTTCTTTTCTCCAGGTAGTTCTGGATCCGATTGACAACTTGCTTCTGCATCATAAACCTTGATGTCGGAGGGGTTGCTGAAATTCCTGCAATCATACCCAAGGACATTGATGATTTCACTGCAAACTGCCGGGGGTTTGTTAGCACTGCTATGATGACAGTACAGTTTACACACCATTTTTAGCCCGAAAAACACTCAATTTTCTGCCGTCAATGAGCAGATAAATGGTACTGTTGTGAATTGGAAACGCAAATTTATAAATGGAGTAGCACGTACATGAAAAAAAATCTGGCTCAAGTTTTGCATTCAATAGTTTACAAACACAATTCCCATGTTGGGCAGCCACCGGATAAAATGTAAATGCTTTTTAAGATTTGCTTTCAATCTGGGTTGGTATAATCTAACGATTTTTCTCAACCAGAAAAAAACTATATTTAACGTTGTTTTAGGGAGAAAAAAATAATCATTTTTCACCTAAAACCACTCCGCGTTTAATTTTCATTAAATGGATTAATCTTTTTTCCAGAGAAATACTTAATATCTTTTAATTAAATAGAGAGGATCTCAGTAAGCATTCCTATTTAATATTTTATTAGGTTGTCATTAATTAGTTAACATGCCCAACTACATAATTCTCACTCTTAATTAGTTCCCAATCCGGATCAACATTAGTTTTGTTTAGATTCGGATGAAATTCTGAGTTTTCCAAAACTTGATGAACCGCAACTCCCTCCACAGGAAACATTTGCTATTTTAAAATAGTTCAAGATTATTTATTTTGCAAAGGGACTAGGAACAGAATTTAATAAGTTTGAACTCTCCACCGCCGGTTCAAATTTGAATCACCGAATCAAAGCCTTCCTTTTGCAACTTTATGTTGGTGGTTTAAATTTAAATCTGCAGTAAGTAATAGTTCAGCGTCGTAGCTCAATTAATTATCTATCGCTGGTTCAAAACTTGAATCACTAATTCTAATTTTTAACTTTTAATGAGTGATTCAAATTTGAACCACTCATTAAACTAGTTTAAATTCATTCAATTCGGTCTGCGAACATAAAAAAAGTTCTGGGTTCAGTTTCGTCATCATTTGCAATTTTTTTCCAAAACTGCACACTTCCTAAAATTGTTTTCTAAACCCAACAACTATATTCAAAATCCCTTTTCAATATAAACTTTTGTATTTTTCAGAACTTTCCCCGGAACTCTGAAAGGAAAGTATTTGTGTTGGATTAAAGGATATTAAAGATACATCCTCGCTTTACCACTTTATCAAAACAGAATCCTCGGCTTCAATATTTTATGAAATAAAAGTGGTAAAATTCAGGAGATTCAAGAGGAAATAAATAATCCTGATAGGAAACCCAGGTAATGGGGTAGAAAGGTTTATTGAGGCTCAATAAAAAACTCATTTCGATTTATCGTGTTAACAAGATGTATTCAAAATATTTTCAAATTTACGCAAAAGGATGAAAATTGAAAATAGTCCATTTGCCTCGGAAAAAAAACTGTTCACATTTTTTTTTTTTTTTGACTAAATTTCAAACCATTTTAAAACTAAATTATCAAATTATCAGGTCTGTTTACACTGCACATTTGTTGTTTATCATGCTAATCAAGCTTTTTGTAGTTACAATTTGTAGACTCAAAATAATAATATTTTTGTATTTTACTAACCAAACAAAACTCACAGATTAATGAATGCTATTCATGAAAACAAAATTAGGCATATTTTTAGATTATTTGTTTGTTATCAAACAGTAAAATATTTAACATTCATCATGAATAATTGAAGAAGTAATATCTACGTGGGGTAGATACAAAGATTTAATTATATTATAATTAAACAAAAGATTTTCTTAGTTATGGTTTTGCGCTTAGGACGATAAAAATCTTTTTGGGGAATGGGTACAAAATGTCGATTATCAAAACGTCGAATAACAGAACGTTCGTCGAAATTACTAAACGTCAAATACTTCAAAGCGTCCACTGATACAAAACGTGGACTGGTACAAAACGTCGATTGCTACAAAACATCGACTGCTAAACGTCGACTGCTACAAAACGTCGAAATTAAAAAACTTCGACTCCACGTTGACAACTACAAATGTTGTCTAATAAAACAATGTTACATTATATTGGGTTAGATTAGGTTAAGACAATTTCTGGGCCGAGCGCTGTGGCTAGAACAGACCAAAGACGGTAGAGCTCTTTGGAACAGACTATCAGTATCAGTTAAAAGGAAGCGTGAAATATTCAGCTAAAATCAACATTTAACATTTAAGAGGTCTAGATGATTATCAAATGGTATAGAGAAACAAATGTAATGTACTGTACAAAAGAACTGTATCAGATGATGTACAGCAAATTAACTAATGTTGTACATAAAATTTACATATTCTAGATATTTATCAGATGATATACAGCCCCCTGACCCAGTCTGGATAAACCTATTAGTTCAAGAAGATATGAGAACCAAGATACAGGGTAAACTGGATCCATATATTTAAAAAAATGTTATGTTTCTTTTGCTTTTTATTCGTAAAATTACTCATTCTGAGTTTAAGTTACAGCTAATGAGAACCTAGAGGGTAGAGGTCGATACTACACATTTTGAGTAACTGCACTGCACTAATTTCATGTTAACAATCCTAAGGGTTGCTCAGAGATTAAGTACTCACAAAAAAAATTCTTAAGAGTGTACATTTTGCTTACTCTTTGCCTTCTTATGAACTGTACTGTAACAGTGGGCGAGTTTTGTTGATCTTTTACGATCAGCAATTCAAGGATTTTTTGGATCGCTGAGATCATAGCTACCAAGGGGAATCATGCCCCCTTCCCCCCCCCCCCATCTTTAACCCTACGGTTGGACTTTAGAGTCCTATTTTGAATCCTAACGGATTTATTTGAGTTTAGATTCATAATATTTAGTTTGTATAAGTATCGTTCGATTTAAATTTTGTATTTTTGTATCTTTTGTATATAAATATATTGTAAGAAAAACCGACTCGTTGAATATTTGAGAAACTCAGTGTATTGCTTTATTGATTTTATTCATATACAATAGTACACGTAATGTCAAGTGACTCTTTTATGTCATTAACTTTGAAAACTAATATTTTGAAGTGGCGGGCGGAGTTCTAATTAAAAACAATGAAGAAAATCGACAAAAACAACGATGTAACCTAGACATTATTGATTAATAAAATGTTTGCAGAACACTGTTGTGAATCGGCCATGCCTTCTTTGAAATTAGGGGGTCACTTGAAATTACAAGAATTTACATAGGTTGAAAATATAGATATTTGGCAAATCATTTTAGATCTTAAACTTTGTGAGCCCCAGCCCCCACCTATTCACCTTCAGGACCAGGTCACTATTTTTACTTTCATTTTTCTTCATTTGAAATTATAAAAACATTTTGATTGATTTACACTTTTAAGAATTGTTTATTGTTTGTTGGAGACCTTTTTTCAAAGTCATCCAATATGAAATATTCTGATAAATTCTGATATATTTTGATACATTCTGATATATTCTGATTCATTCTGATATATTCTGATACATTCTGATATATTCTGTTACATTCTGATAAATTCTGATATATCATGAGATATTCTGATATATTCTGATATATTCTGATATATTCTGAAATATTCTAATATCTTCTGATACATTCTGATATATTCTGATACATTCTGATAAATTCTGATATATTATGAGATATTCTGATATATTCTGATTTATTCTGATATATTCTGAAATATTCTGAGATATTCTGAGATATTCTAATACATTCTGAAATATTCTTATACAGTGAAACCATTAATAACGAATACATCGGAAGAATTTATAAAATGTCGTCTTTACAATTTTTCAATGAGTTTTATACTATATTACGTAAATTTCAGTATTTGCGAAAATAAATAAATAGCCATGAATATGCAGGAACAGTTTTAAAGAGTTCCATATAATCATTTAATTAAAAAAAAACTAAATATCTGCAACATTCCATTATCAGAAAGTGAAGAATACGACATTTGATGAATTCTTTCGATGTATTCGTGATTAAGGGTTTCACTGTATATTCTGAGATATTCTGAGAAATTCTGATGTATTCTGATATATTCTGATATATTCAGAGATACTCTGATATATTCTGAGATATTCTGAGAAATTCTGATATATAATGAAATATTCTGTTATTTTCTGAAATATTCTGATATATACTGAGATTTTCTGAGATATTCTGCCGATGTATTCTGATGTATTCTGATATATTCTGAGAAACTCTGATATATTCTGATTTATTATAATATATTCTGCTATATTCTAATATAATCTGATATATTCTGATATATTCATATATATTTTAACATACTCTGATATATTCTTATATATTCTGATATAATCTGATGCACTCTTTTAAATATTCTAATATAATCATATATATACTAATATTTTCTGATATATATATTCTGATACATTCTAATACATTCTGATTTATTCTGATATATTTTGATATATTCTGATATATTCTGATAAATTTCGTTATATTCCATTATATTCTGTTCTTTTCCGATATATTCTGATGTATTTTGATATTTTCTGATATATTCTGTTATATTCTAATATTTTCTGATAGATTCTGATGTATTCTGATATATTCTTATATATTCTGATATATTTTGTTGTATTCTAAAATATTCTTATATATTCTGATATATTCTGAAATATTCTGATGCATTCTGATGTATTCTGATATTTTAATATATATCCTGCATTTTATAATATCTAAATTTTCTGTTTAGTTTAAAATTAGCACATTCAGAGAGAAAACAATACACAGACTCGACAGGGTAGAAAATATTAGTTTCCAGTTTCCACCACTAGATGGAGTTGAGAACCCACCGCTAGATGGAGTTAAGAACCATCATGAATCAAATGGAAGATTATCATCTAACAGAACTAATTTTAAAACTTCTTCAAACCGACTTGATAGATTCTCACAAGTTTTCAGGTAATTTACAGATTTTTTATTAGTATTTCATTTGTCGGAAATAAAATTAAATAATATCTAGGATTTTCAAATTATTTAGACTGTCCCCACCCCCCCTGGACCTTCCAACCCCACAACCGGAAACTTCTCCACCACCACCCTCTAGGTATTCCATCATTTTCAGAATTATTTTTTTTGGAACAAAAATAGTTGTTAATTTTAGCTGTAGAAAACTAACGTTTCTTCTTTTAATAGTATACCAAACCAACTTATCTAATAGAATAGGCAATTAATAGATTTTATACATTTCATAGGGAAACGTTAAAGAAATTAAGACTTTGCCGCAAACTCAAATGCTTTTTAATCCTTTTATCTTTGGAACCTGACGGTTTAAACACAGGGGCATACTACAGCATTTGTGTAGGGGGGNGGGGGGACTTTTTGCTCCCGCGTCACTTCATAGAAGCGATACATATTGTGTAATTATAAATAATGATATGAAAGATATATTTACACTGAAAGCATTGATTAAGCTTTTTTAATGAAACTTTTTTGATTCAGAGCAAAAGTGAGGTTTTATTGTATTTTTATATGGGTGCCCCCTCCCCTCAGGGCGCCCCCTTGTACGCCCTTGTGTGAACCTTTGATATTTCAAACTTAAAGTGTTTGATTTAACAGATTTCAGTTTGAAATATCTAAAGGTCTACGACATTGATTTTAATTTTTTCTGCATTTTTTAAACACAATTTTCTCCGCGGGATTTTCGTCAAATTCATTCCGCATTTTTGTGCGTTACAAATTTACGCGGAATTTCGCGGGAAAAAAGCGTAAATTTGCGCGTTTTTTCTACGGAAGGAATGTGGAAAAATGCGCTATTTGCGCAATTTTTCCATTACGTTAAAAATCCTAATTGGGTTGCTAAGATTTTGGGATTATGAAAATCAAAGTTTGTGGTATCTCAGATGTCATACACTGTTTTAAACTGTTATAAACAGTGTAGCAAAATATTTGATTGGTCTCAGACTTTTTAAATGAAGTTTTTATGTTTTTAATTAATTGTCTGACTAGCTGTATTTTTACATGAAGTTTTTATGTTTTTAATTAATTGTCTGACTAGCTGTATTTTTACATGAAGTTTTTATGTTTTTAATTAATTGTCTGACTAGCTGTATTTTTACATGAAGTTTTTATGTTTTTAATTAATTGTCTGACTAGCTGTATTTTTACATGAAGTTTTTATGTTTTTAATTAATTGTCTGACTAGCTGTATGTGCATTCAAAATATAAAATAACCTTGTAAAAGAATGTTTAATTAGTTTAACTACTTTCTAAACTTGTTCAGAGGAAGAATTAGATTTTATTTTTGCAATTATAAAAATAATACTTTTTATATTTTAGACCCAGTCGGGGTAGAGATCTATTTGACGATGTGAGAAATTATAGAAAGACGATCACCCTGTATTGATGCTCACATCCTGTTAAAAAAATATATATATAAATAAAATAGTTTTGAAATTTTTATTGTACAAGATGATATTCTTATCAAAAATATTTTCCAGATGGAAACTTTAACTAAAAGCTTTTTTTTAACATCTCATAAGAATTTAGCCTTATTGTTTCACTGATCTATGATCTATGGTTCGAGGATAAATAGTATAAAGGCTACCAGGACGCTTCGCACTTATCTTTTATCTCAACTTTTTATTGTTGATCAATCTAACAGCATTTTCTCTTCGATTAAACAATAAAATGAAATTCTCAGATTTATCGATTTTTTCGTCGATTTTGAAAAATCGGATTTTTGTCAGGCAAATTTATTAATTCTTGGGTCATGGGAGGTCCAATAAAATATTTGGGCTAGACAGTTCAGTCGTTTTGACGTTTATTGAATACAAACAGACAGACAGAGACGCAAATAACAATTTCATATATTTTATAACATAAAAAACTATATTTCATTATCGGACCCTTTAAGACCACAGTGCTTAATCGCCTGTAAAACCTTTTAAAAGTTTTGAAGTTATAAAAAGCTTTATAAATCCTTTTGTAAATATTATTTTCAAATTGTGCAATTTTGGTTCCAACAAACAAAGTTTGAGCGATTATGATAATAATAAGTGTGATATTAATAAATATTATAATATAATAATAATTTGTATTAAAAACTGGTGCATATAACATGGGGAAGAGATGTGCCTGTAATTAAATGCCACAGTATTTTGATCTTATTTATAATCTCATTTTTTATTATTATTTAAATAAAATAAAATATATAAAATATATTTATATATAAAACGACAAGTTCAAGATATATATTAAAAACTTGTCAGGAGTCTGGGGGCCTGGATTACTTTTACAAAACATGTTTTTTTTTTCATTGCATTGTTCACCCTTGGATATTCTTATTCTGTTGAACAACATATTTGATTTTGCTAGAAACCACTTGGTTTTTCAAGTGACAAATATTCTTTTGTTGTTTTTCAGCAACTTGAAAATATTTTAGTAGCAAAAATTCATTTTTGTTGAAAATTTTGTTTGGTAAAGGGGGCTTTAAATTTATATTTTGTATACTGAGAACCACCAAAAAGCTAAAATAAAAAGAAACTACGCAAAGCAGCAGAAGCTTGAAATCAGATAATGCAGATGGACATTAGATAATGGAGCTAGAGATTAGATAACAAATCTGGAAAATATTTAATGGAGCTATAGATCGGATAATGCAGCTGGACATTAGATAATGGAGCTAGAGATCAGATAGCAAATCTGGAGAATAGATAATGGAGCTATAGAGATCAGATAGAAAATCTAGAGAATAGATAATGGAGCTAGAGATTAGATAACAAATCTGGAGAATAGATAATAGAGCTAGAGATTAGATAACAAATCTGGAGAATAGAAAATGGAGCTAGAGAAAGATAATAAATCTGGAGAATAGATAATGGAGCTAGAGATCAACTAATAAATTTAGATAATAGATAATGGAGCTAGAGATCAGAAAATAAATTTAGAGAATATATAATGGAGCTAGAGATTAGATAACACATCTGGAAAATGGATAATGGAGCTAGAGATTAGATAACAAATCTGGAGATTAGATAATGGAGCTAGAGATTAGATAATAAATCAGGAGAATAGATAATGGAGCTAGAGATCAGATAATAAATTAAGAGAATAGAAAATGGAGCTAGAGATTAGATAATAAATTTAGAGAATAGATAATGGAGCTAGAGATCAGATAATAAATTTAGAGAATAGAAAATGGAGCTAGAGATTAGATAACAAATCTGGAGAATAGGTAATGGAGCTAGAGATTAGATAACAAATCTGGAGAATAGATAATTGAGCTAGAGATTAGATACTAAATCTGGAGGATAGATAATGGAGCTAGAGAACAGATAATAAATCTGGAGAATGGATAATGGAGCTAGAGATCAAATAATAAATTTAGAGAATAGATAATGGAGCTAGAGATCAGAAAATAAATTTAGAGAATAGATAATGGAGCTAGAGATTAGATAACAAATCTGGAGAAATTTAGAGAATAGATAATGGAGCTAGAGATTAGATAACAAATCTGGAGAATAGATAATGGAGCTAGAGATTAGATAACAAATCTGGAGATTAGATAATGGAGCTAGATATTAGATGACAAATCTGGAGAATAGGTAATAGAGAATAGATTAATTAAGGTATTTATACTATACAAAAAACAAGTCGGTTCAAGTCCAGTTGCGGATGCGTTTGTTCACAAACAACCAAACAACCAATATAGATTAGTACAAAATGAGTTCATTGTATATTACGGAGTTTGGTGTATTCTCAGTACAACATATTCTTTTATGGCTTTACCTACCTTAATACTGTGTAACCTACCTTTTGAAGGGAATTATAAGCTTTAAAGTGTAATAAGAAAATTATTTTATTTTCAGTTCTTTAAATATGTGCATTAGATAACAATTGTGAGAGGTAACATACAGAATAATTCACGTTCATGATCATTATCAGATAGTTCAGCTGCTTAATAGTCAGTCATGGTTTATGATCAACTGGTTCATAGCTATGTGGTTCATGATCATCTGGTTAGTGATAATGTGGATTATGATTATCTGGTTCATGATCAGCTAGCTATGATTTTCTGATTTAGTATTAGTTGATTCATGATCAGCTGGTGCATGATTAGTTGGTGCATGATCAGCTGGTTCATGATCAGCTGGTGCATGATCAGTTGGTTCATGATCAGCGGGTTCTCTAAAACCAATGGCAAATGTTACGCTGTTGAAACACAACTGGTTCATGACTAACTTATCATGAACTGCAGATTCATATTATTTAGTTCATGATCAACGGACGTTAGGCTTTAAATTATATGATATATATGATTCATGATAACTGATTATTCAGCTAATTTAAAATGAGCTTAGTAGTTCATGCAAATCGGATCAGCTGATATATTGCTCACTGATTATCTGGCTTATGTCCAACTGTTTGTCAGGTTAAAAGCTCTGCTTTGTCTGATTTCTGCCACCTTGACGAGGTTTAGCTCCAGGTTCCTCTTCATCCTCTCCTCCTTCTCCTTCCTTGTCATCATCCGTCCTTCTCTCTCTCCACTCTCATCCTTCTGCTCTTCAATATACTCCTGAATCCTGAAACAAAATCAATCAATCATTTCCTGAAAATCTACACATAAAAGAATTTATCAGAACATTAAAAAGTGAACCCTACCATAAATATTCACAGACAAAGTTCAGTTTCTCTCCACAGTCAGTATCTTCCCAAACCTTGAGTCCAGTATCCGTCCCACGACCACGGATAGACAAACAGGCAGCAGTATCATCTGTCTCCAGAGCTCGGGGATATTCTAAATAATAATAATAATAATAATAATAATAATAATAATAATAATAATAATAATAATAATAATAATAATAATAATAATAATAATAATAATAATAGTAATGTCTAAACACAAACTATCTTACGAGAAAAAAAGATTTAACTTGGTAACTTTCGCATCTGATTTCACTTCAATAATATTTTCTTGTTTTTTAAATTTAATTTTCTCTAATTTTACAAAAAATGTGCAAATATAATTTTTAGTATTTTGTTATACATGAAGTTATTCTAAACAAATGCTGCAATATTGAAAGTTAAATTCAATAGTATTTATTTGTAAATAAACATTTACTGAAATAAACATTTAAATCTCTTAAAAAATATATTCAAAATAGGATTTGAAATACAACATTATATTCTGTATAATCTTCAAGTAGATCATGCAGAATATAATTAGGATTTATGATCCTAATAATTAGCATGATAAATACACTACAAGTTTAATTATAAGAATTATTGCATAACCATATTCTTTGTTCATGTTTTCAACTGAATAAATATGTTTCATGTTTTACTTTCTCAAGGCTAAGTGTCTGAAATGAAACCATGATATTAATTATTAAGATAATTAAAATAAAATATATTTATTTGTAACACACGCATAAAAACGTGTACTGGCCTTAAACCCTCGGTGAACATTATTGTTTTTGTTTTCAATTGTTAAAAAAAAAATAAGATGATTTTGAATTGCGTTTACCTCTATACTATGCGTACCTTTATTTATTTATTTATTTATTTATTTATTTATTGACGCCCTGAAACTTTTTAATCTGAACCATCTGAAATTTTCACTGGAGTTTCTGCCCAAAATATGTTTTTTTAACTGGAATATATTTACAAAGAAAGAAACAAGATTACAGCTGTAGGGATCTATGGATTTTAAGAAATAAAAAACAAAACAATTTTTGTTAAGAAACAATCCAAATTTTCGCTATAAAAAATGTGATTTTACTTTACAGTCACCGAAATAAAAATGGTTCTATGTCAAAGGAATTGAGTCTTTGCCACAACTTCTAATTTTCTAATCACTATATCTTTTGAACCAAATGTTGCATGCAGACCTTGGATATTTCAAACTATGAATTCTGCCAGATTAAATAATCTGAGTTTGAAATATCAAAGGTTTACAACATCGGGTTCGAAAGATATTGAGGTTTAAATATTTGATTTTGTTCCAAAGACTCAGTTCCTTTAGAACCTTATATATGGCGTGCACTATACCAAAAATCATCAAATTATTAAAATATCTGAGAAAATATCTGAACAGAGACAGTAATAAAGGGGTAGCAGAGCCATTTTTTCAATATTCGGTTTTACAGTACCCTTTTTAAAGGTCTTTTAATAAAAGGTCGGATTAATTTCATATTTTACTCCGAAACCCTGGGAGCAACTCCAAAATCCTGGGAGCACTCCAAAACCCTGGGAGCAATTCCAAGACCGTGAGAGCAGCCACCCCTTCCTCTTTAAAGCCTGTATGTTTTTGACTAAAACAGTAAATTGAACACTCTGAAACGTTTGAAGGAAATATATCATGCTGTGGTTCTACAAGTCTACAGTCTACATTCCAAGCTTCGTAAGGCTGGCTCGAACAGTCTGAGTTTGTTGACACTGAACTGCATATGATGAGTACGTTTAGCTTTGTTATTTACTAGACTATGGGAGTAGGACAATATATTTTTGTAATACAGTGTGACCCATAAAACTGTGTAAGAGGAAGACGACAATTAGAATAAGATAATGATTAATCTGAAACACAGCAATTGAGCCGTGTACCCAATTTACTTATTGAGATGATTTTTAAGTTAATGGTATAATTATTTACTTTATAACAACATCAAATCAACATAAGATTTTTTAAATGTCGTCTTCTTATTCTTTAGTTTTACGTTAGTATCTGTGTTGTATAGTTTTCAGAAAGAGCATAGAAAACTAGTGTTCCAGCTTGTATAATTAGATGTTTTTTGTTAGTGGCTAGATGTAAGACATTAAAATATTTTGACAAAACATAAGTTTAATCATGCACGGATACATTGAACTAAACAAGGTTACGCAATTCAGCAGTGCGTAATTTGAAATGTGTAGTTCGCACATTCTGAGTAGTGCTGGGCACGTTCTTCATTGTTTTAAAAATATTCTTCCCTCAGTCTTGATTGTTATAAAAACATTCTTCCCCCAGTCTTCATTGTTTTAAAAATATTCTTCCCTCAGTCTTGATAGTTTTAAAACATTCTTCCCTCAGTCTTGATAGTTTTAAAACATTCTTCCCTCCGTCTTGATAGTTTTAAAACATTCTTCCCTCAGTCTTGATTGTTTTAAACACATTCTTCTCTCAGTCTTGATAGTTTTCAAACATTCTTCCCTCAGTCTTGATAGTTTTAAAAATATTCTTCCCTCAGTCTTGATTGTTCCTCAGTCTTGATTGTTTTAAAAACATTCTTCCCTCAGTCTTGATAGTTTTAAAACATTCTTTCCTCAGTCTTGCTAGTTTTAAAACATTCTTCCCTCAGTCTTAATAGTTTTAAAAATTTCTTCCCTCAGTCTTGATAGTTTTAAAACATTCTTCCCTCAGTCTTGATTGTTTTAAAAACATTCTTCCCTCAGTCTTGATTGTTTTAAAAACATTCTTCCCTCAGTCTTTATTGTTTTAAAAATATTCTTCCCTCAGTCTTGATTGATTGTTTTAAAAACATTCTTCACTCAGTCTTGATTGTTGTAAAATCATTCGTTCCGCGTTATTAATAGCTTTTAAGACATTTGTTCCACGTTATTGATAGTTTAAAAACATTCGTTCCATATTCGTTCTTTTCCAAAGCGTCCATTTCGAAAACTTTCTTTCGTTTTTTAATTAACGGTTATCTTAAGCTTTCAGTGTTCGTTAACGGTTCAAATTTAACAAAAAGTTTACCTGACGCCCAGCCCCATTTAAAGGCTCTCATTGGGATTCTTGATTCTGTCCATTCCCATCTCCATCTTCCTCGTTTATTCTTTAATCCTCCCAACCACAACGGAACACCATAGTCTAAATATTTAAATTTATTATTTTATTAAAACTAAAAATTTCTTTTAATAATTATGATTCACCATTTAGTTTTATTTTGTCTTAATGTATCTAAAAGCTTTAAATTTTGAAACAAAAACATCGATCACAGATAAAGAAAGATTTAATAGCTTTGAGGGGGAGAAGACAAGGGTACAGGGTTGAAAAGTATGGTTGGCTTAATAATGTTTTGCAAAGAACCACAATTACTTTTTTATTCTTTTTCTGTACATGCAATGTCAATTGTCAAGGGACGTAAAGCTGATCAATAACCATGCAATCTTTAAATAAAGGAATCCTTCTGTAGGATAACCTTAGTTTGTTATTAGTAAAAAATAGAGGCGGCGGTAGATGGGATCAAGGGCGTAAACAGGGAGGAGGTGGTAAGGGGGTAGTGCCCCCCTAGACCTGTAAAGGGGGGGGGGCGTAGAACTCAGAAGAGATATAGTAAAAGGTAATTGAACTGAATGTGTACCTTTAAAGTATCGTAGAAGCCAAATGTTTTGAATTTACAGTTCAAATGTTGCCCCCCCCCCGCTAGGAGCTCCTAGGGAGGGGGCAAAAATAAATGTTGTGCTTCGCGCATATTTGGCCCCCCACTACATTTATTTCTGTGTACGACCTTGAATGGGTTAGTTAAGGTTTGG